ACTTGGGTGGCCTCAAAGTGCTCTGAAGTACCCTGAGACACAGCGTAGGTGTGGCTGGTGGCGACTGCGAGCAGGACACATTCCTCTGCTCAAGAAGAGACAGATAGCTGTCGGGAGGGTCTAGAGTGGTCAAAAGGTAACTAAGGGGGTCCCACCTGGCCCCAGGAGAAGAGGGCAAAGGGTAAAGGAAAGGGTTATAAGATAAGTGATCTGCTCTCCCCTAAGAAGATCCAGGTCAAGGGGAAAAGGACTGAGATAGATAAAGAGGAGTCTAAAGAGACATAACAACCAAATGTAGTGCATAAATCCCGACTGGACCCTGCATTTTTTTTAAATTTTGTTATCATTAATCTACAATTACATGATGAACATTATGTTTACTAGACTCCCCACATCATCAAGTCCCCCCCACATACCCCATTACAGTCCCTCTCCACCAGTGTAGTAAGATGCCATAAAAACAATACTTGTGTTTCTTATGCTATAATGCCTTCCCTGTGCCTCCCACTTTATTATGTCTGCTAATTATAATGCCCCCTCCCCGCCCTTATCCCTCCTTTCCCACCCATCCTCCCCAGTCCCTTTCCCTTTGGTAAGTGTTAGTCCATTCTTGGACCTTGCATTTTTAAAAAAGCTATCAGAGAAGTCATGGGAAAATCTGACCTGGCCTGACACCTCATGAAGGAGAGAAGGGTGGACTCCCCAGACATAATAATGGCGCCGAGCGAGACACGGACTCTCCGACAGAAGACACACAGCTCCAGTGCCTGGCGTTCAAGTGCTGCAACATCCTCTACAACTCACGTCAAAGACTGCAGGAAATCCCCCCAACATACACACCCACACGGAACTAAGCAGATACGGCAAAACAGTAACTATCATCTAGATGGTTGGCATATGGATGTACATCATTCAATTTCCAACTGCTCTATTTTAAAATTTCATAATAAAAAGTTGGAAAACAAACCTAACAACCATGAGGAAAGCCTTGGAATTAGAAAAACAAAACACAATGGAGCCCATGTGACAGAAGGCACTGCCTTATAGCAGGGGCCAAACTACACACCTCTAATGGGGAACAGACCCAAAATGTCCAAAGTGCCAAGGACTGAAATCCAGTTTTTTCAACAGTGGGTTACATGATCAGATACCTAGATACACAGGAAACATCTTTGGTTACCAGTTTGAAATAACCAAAGTAATACACTCTCCTAAAAAAGACCCCGACAAAGTAGCGTATGGAGTGAGGAGTGAGGCTCTGCACCTGCCTCCCTTACATCCACTGCGAGCTGTGCCGACCTCCCGATCTGGTCTGTGAATAAGCCACGTCTGGAGACAGTGGTAACAGCCAATGCTCACCGCACGTCTGCTGTGCTCCGCGTGCTTCCCGCATAGTCACCGTCTCGTTAATTCTCACGACAGTCTCACACAGCAGGTCTAAGTGTCACCCTCACTTCAGAGACGGGAACATGCCGGGCAGGAGGTGGACTTTGGCGGGCGGCCCGCACGGTCTGGGTGGAGCCCAGAGCCGGAGAAGGGAGCGGCAGCCTCAGCGGTCTGGAGGGACACGCAACCCGCAGCAAGAGCAGCAGGTGCCCAGGCTCCCTCGGGGGAACGCAGCCAAGCCGGCGCGGGCTGGCCAGCAGCAGATCGTGCGGACTTGGCAGGCCTCTCTGAGGGGTCTGGACGCAGGCAGCGGCCTCCCCAAGCCTGCGGGAGAACACCTATGGTTGAGCAGGAACGACGGAGGTTCTCGGGAACGCCTAATGACCAAAGCTACCAAGCGCTAACCAGACCCGCTCCAGCCATGTTTTCCGGGCTAAGAACACAGTGTATGGCCCTTTACAGGGCAGAACTGCTCAAAATGAGCAGAGCACAGAGGAGCCCGCAGACCCCAAATGCCGCTCTCACTTTAGAAGGTATCCCTGGGTGACAAATGGATACTCGCGGGTACTGAGCTCAGTGAGCAGCGCTCTGCTTAGCTGGTCTTCCAGACAATCCAGAGTATTCTTACAGTACATTTTAGATCACAAAATTAAAAACAAACAGAAAGAATGAGCACAGCCCCATGGGTGGCCGTGAATGCCTAGGTGGACCAGAGTTTGGGGTCCGTAATTCCCTCCCTATCTGTCCACTATAGGCAGGAGAGCGGCCTGCAAATCCCGGCAGAGAACACAGTAAGCAACCCCCACTTAAGAGCGGGCTTCTCACGCTGCAGGTCACCAGCGTCATTCTCGCCCTCGTCCTCCCACCGAGGAACGCGCTCACAGGAGATGAGCTGCATCGGCCTGGGGACCAGGGCCAGGTCAGGGGCTGCGACCCCCCCAAGGGCAGACGAGGGGCCCCTTCAGGGGCGCTGGGGTTCCAGGGTGGCCTCGGTGAGGCCCCCTCGTGAGCATGTCGACACAGTGGCAGTCCCGCACGCAGAACGCCAGCACGGCTAACTGGAGTGGGGGTGTCACAGGGCACCCGGCAGCGATCAGATGCAGCTGTGGCTTTGTGCTGACAAAGCCAATTGAGTGCTGTTTGATTTGGGATGTGTTTACTCTGGGAAATATGCAACAACAGCTCAGCACCAAAGTTCACACTGAAACCCTGCCGGGGACCTTGGCTGATTCCACCTCTGCAACACCACTTCTCAGAAGCACAGAGGTGAGTGTGGTTTCTAACATTTCTGCCGATTGTAAATTCTCTCTGGTGGTTAGAGATGAGTGACTGGTGCATTTCTCTATCAAACTACGAATTCAAAAGCTTTCTGTACTATTTTAGAAGTGGGAAAATGTTCTCATTTTTAATCTGCCTACTCTAAAATGCTGTCAGTCACATTATTGGAACCATTGCCAAAACTGGATCAGGAACTGGACTAGAGAAATATTGTACCTGTGTTAAATTATTTGAATGGATAACTGTACTGTGATGATGCATGAGAATATCCTTGTTCTTAGGCATTTTTCCCTGGAATATTAGAAGTTAGAGCGATACAATATAAGTGATGTACTCTCAAATGGTTCAGGAAAAAAAAAGCATATATGTGCGCCTGTGTGCACACCCACTTATACATACATATATATGTGGAGAGAGAGTGCGATAAAGCAACTGTTCAAAACACAAACCTGGTGAATCTGAGAAAAGTGTATACAGTGGTCTATGCTATTCTTTCAACTTCTCTGTTAAGTTTCAAGTTATTTCAAAACAAAAGGTTTTTGACACTGCAGGCAGTTACTCCTCTCCCACTACATCTCTTCTGCTTGGCCTGGAGATGGCAGCCTCAGGACACAGGTGTGCAGGGCTCATGTTCTGTGCATCCCCCGTACCATACAATTAGCAAGAGAAAGCACATATGAAATCCCCAGAAAAAAGCAAACTTTCAAATGATTTGCCTTTAAAAAATATTGCTTCTCTTCTAAGATAGTAATCTGGATTTAAACACATCATAGTGGTCATTTTAAAGTGTCTTGATATAATTCTTGCTATACTAAATGGCAAAATAATAGGAAGATTTAACTTTTAGATCCTTAATTTCAATCCCCAAAAACTATCAGCATTTTCTCTCTGATAAGGGAATAATGAAAACTATTTTGGCTCTTCACCATTTAATACAGGAACAGGGTATGAGAAGCTTCCAAACATACTACCTGCACCCATGTCTTCACCTCTGCTTGCTTATCTGGTCTTAGATTCTTTTCCCTGAACTCTTATTTATTCGAGTTTTTTTTTTAACCTTATTTTTATCTGAGAAGGATACTTTTAAGTGCAGCCTACCAAGAAGTCTTCCACCAAATAGCTGACTTTCTTCTTTTCTAACTTTTTATAGTGTTTGCCATCAACACTCATGCCCAGTTCTGTTTGCAAACTGGGCCCAATTCTGCTTGCAGCCACACACATAAGGAATTGTTTCAAGCGTGCAGGCTGCATGCACAGCCCTGCAGCCTCAGCTAGGTGCTGCCGGGTGGGGGTGCAGCAACACAAAAGACATTTTTAAAGTCAGAAACTATGTTACATTCCCTCTCCAAAATGTGCACAAGTCTCTCAGTAGTCATTAGAACAGCATTTGAGATGATTATCTTAGCAGTACTACAGGGGAAGACCTAAGATGGGAGACTAGGAGCAGAGAAACCAGTCCTGGCGCTCCAATGCAAACAGGCAAAGCATTCAGCACCAGCAGATGGGGCAGGGGGGTTAGTCCGCATGGTTCGGTCTCGCCACTGCCACTTACAGTGACACACGGCTCAGTGTCCCGGCCTCCAGCAGATGCTCCATCAGGACTAGACGGAGAGCTCTGCAAGTGGGGTATCTCCAGCCACCCCCCAGAAGGCCTAACACATCAAAGCCAGCAGCTCTCACCCGCCATTCTGGGCCTCGAATATCTAACAGGAGACAGCCACACACACCACACACTTAACTAGTAGACACAGCGCCTCTTTGGGGTGATGAGAAGTGGCTCTGGGACCGTGATGCACGGTGGTAGATCACTATGCTGCCCTGTCCTGGCCACACACGGAAGCATAAAATCATAGCTCATCTGCTCAACCCAGAGCGCAATCAATAAGCAGGAAGCAAGCAAGAGAAAGACAAGGCCATTTGGCAGGCAAAACTGATTTGAAAAGCTGAGGCAAATCCCTCCATGGAAAATGGCAGAGATGAGTAGATAAAGGCAGGCTTAGCACAGGGTAGGTATTAAAACTTGGCTGTGAATTTAAATAAAGGGAGTGCCCAGGCCTTTAGCAAGAGCTTTCTGAGGCCACCCTCACACAGACCTAACATGCTGGGGAGGTTATTTCTAACTGTTGCAGGAAGCAGTCAAGTTGAAAAGTTAGCAGCTCCTCCTGAAGCCATGGGAGGCCACTGGCAGGTGCAGAGGGGAACAGAGCACACCTGCAGCAACGTTCCTCCACCCGAGGCTGCCAGAGGAAGAGGGCCTGGGGGATCTGCAGCACTGACAAGTGCCATATCTTATGCAAATTAAACCACCCCAAATCACTACACAAACCTTGCATATTTGTAGGATATTCGTTCTCAGAAAGCCTGGCCCACTCGCATTTCAACATCTCCACCGGAACCCCACTTCTTGGTGAACTTCCCTGACCCTCCTGGCACTCCGCTCCTACCACAGGAGGCAGAGCCCCCCCCAGCCTCGCTTCCCCACCTGCTGTGGCAGCACCCTGGTGAGAGACCCACTTTATTGCATTTCTGCCCCCATCTGGCTGGCTGGCGAGTCCCTTGGTAGGGGAGACCTCGTGCCTCCCACCTAATACGTTGTTCGGAGAAAGAAGATGAAGTTCAGTGAATGAAAGAAAAAGAGACTCCCCAGGGGTGGGGGGGGGGCAGGCATGAGCCCCCAGACTTCTAGCCACTTACAGTTCTACAAACCTTTAAAGAAGGGATTCTCATGTAGGGGCCCATGGGTCCTGCAGGCAGTTTTATGAAGCCACACAAAATGTTAGGTATCTGTCCATCTTCAGCAGCTTCTCCTGAAGTCCACAATCCTGAAACAGCTACGGTCCAGGGCTCCCAGGTGGAGGGCACGTTCCCGCGTCACAGCCGCCGGGACCCGCCATCCAAGCTCTCTGGTGGCGGGCGTGCCAGGCGGCCGCTCACACGCTGTTGCTTCTCTCCCTCAGCTCTAGTCCTGCCAAAATGAAAGGCCCACTCCAACCCCTCATCATTTCTCTCATCCTAACGTCTGTGTGTGGGAACAACGGCCTGGCGGGCCACCCGGAGAAAGGAAGGGAAGATTCTAAGCCTGCATCTGACCAAAAGGGGCAGGTAAAGAGCAAAAACCTAAGCATGCCGCTTCTCCCCGCTGACTTCCACAAGGAACACACGGTCACCAACGACTGGCTCACCGAGGGGGAGGAGGAGGAGGATTATCTGGACCTGGAGAAGATACTCAGCGAGGACGACGACTACAGCGACATCATCGATGCTGTTTCGCCCACAGATTCACACGCCAGCATGGACAACATCCTCCATCTCTTCCAGGGCAAGACCCGGATCCAGCGTTTGAACATCCTCAATGCCAAGTTCGCGTTCACCCTTTACCGGGCCCTGAAGGAACAGGCCCGTCCTTTGGACAACATCTTCATAGCCCCGGTGGGCATTTCTACTGCCATGGCAATGATCTCCTTGGGCCTGCAGGGGGAGACCCACGAGCAAGTGCACTCGGTTTTGCATTTTAAAGACTTTGTCAACGCCAGCAGCAAGTATGAGGTCATGACCATCCACAACCTCTTCCGTAAACTTACTCATCGCCTCTTCAGGAGGAATTTTGGGTATACGCTAAGGTCAGTCAATGACCTTTACGTCCAGAAGCAATTCCCAATCCTGGATGACTTCAAAACTAAAGTAAGAGAGTACTACTTTGCTGAGGCCCAGGAGGCTGACTTCTCAGACTCTGCCTTCATATCAAAAGCCAACCACCACATTCTGAAGCTCACCAAGGGCCTCATAAAAGATGCTCTGGAGAATATAGACCCAGCAACACAGATGATGATTCTAAACTGCATTTACTTCAAAGGTAAGAAATAGCTTTGTATGTCTTGAGGCAGGCTTGCAACATACCCTTTTAGTACGCAGGTGGGCTGAGCACCGAGAATGTATTCTAGCTCTGATTCGTCTAGGAAACCAAGACACGAGGTCAGCTCACAGGGACAGGGAAGGTCATGAGGAAGTGACGGTGCCGCTGACCCTCACTGGATCGCCACCACAACCTTGTGAGGCCCTTACTGTTAATGGCGTCCCACTCTGCAGACAGAACGACCGAGGCACAGAGAAGACAGACAGGGCTCCAAAGGGCACACAGCCGGCCAGGGGCAGGGCCACGGTGGCCCCAGGCAGGCCACTTCTAGCGCTTTGTTAAATTGGAAGAGAGAGTGAAAAACCTTTTTAGCATTTGGCCAGCCTGGGTTTGAGTTTTTTTTCACTTCCCTTCCCAGTTATCAAGGATCTGGGCGAAAGGCTGCAGGAAGGGGCCTGGAAGGTGGTCAGCTCGAGTGACCGCCAAGAACACCCGCAACTCCTTTCCAGGGATATTTCTGCACTGACGGGCAGGCCAGGGTTGGGAAATACAGTATTCTAGAGCAACTGCTCTGGGCCAGGCAGGAAAGGCTCACGGTGGACATTCCCCCTGACCCCTACGCACACACATGGGACCTCTGGTATCCTAGAAATAAATGGGTATGGACTTCTAAGATCCAGCCCTCTTTTAGGACGCCCTCACTAACAATATCACACATACCTAGTATGTGATAGACTGGAATCTACAGTCGCGAATGAGCAGAGCTAGATTCCAATCTATCACATACTAAGTAGCTGTGATATTGTGTGTGAAACTTATCTCACTTCTATGAGCAATTAACCTACATTCAGGGATGATGATAGAAGGGCCAGGGGAAGTAATCTGGGCAACACGAAGGCCTGGGTCCTACTGGTCTGTGGGGTGCCCCTGGAAACCAAAGCCTCTGCATTAGGCTGGGCATGTTCAGGAGCAGACGGAAGCACAGCGGTGAGCCGCCCCCACTGGCAGGGAGCTGGAGAAAAGACAGGGACATTGTTTATAATCTCCTGAACACAGTGAGCAGTGTCACACCGCAGGGTAAAGGTGGCAACTGTATGTGCTCGCTTCCCCCTCACATGGGGATGACCCCTTAATTTAGTGCTAGGAATCAGAGGGATGATTAGTTGCACCCAGAAGCAGCCTGCGGGAGAACACCTATGGTTGAGCAGGAACGACGGAGGTTCTCGGGAACGCCTAATGACCAAAGCTACCAAGCGCTAACCAGACCCGCTCCAGCCATGTTTTCCGGGCTAAGAACACAGTGTATGGCCCTTTACAGGGCAGAACTGCTCAAAATGAGCAGAGCACAGAGGAGCCCGCAGACCCCAAATGCCGCTCTCACTTTAGAAGGTATCCCTGGGTGACAAATGGATACTCGCGGGTACTGAGCTCAGTGAGCAGCGCTCTGCTTAGCTGGTCTTCCAGACAATCCAGAGTATTCTTACAGTACATTTTAGATCACAAAATTAAAAACAAACAGAAAGAATGAGCACAGCCCCATGGGTGGCCGTGAATGCCTAGGTGGACCAGAGTTTGGGGTCCGTAATTCCCTCCCTATCTGTCCACTATAGGCAGGAGAGAGGCCTGCAAATCCCGGCAGAGAACACAGTAAGCAACCCCCACTTAAGAGCGGGCTTCTCACGCTGCAGGTCACCAGCGTCATTCTCGCCCTCGTCCTCCCACCGAGGAACGCGCTCACAGGAGATGAGCTCCATCGGCCTGGGGACCAGGGCCAGGTCAGGGGCTGCGACCCCCTCAAGGGCAGACGAGGGGCCCCTTCAGGGGCGCTGGGGTTCCAGGGTGGCCTCGGTGAGGCCCCCTTGTGAGCATGTCGACACAGTGGCAGTCCCGCACGCAGAACGCCAGCACGGCTAACTGGAGTGGGGGTGTCACAGGGCACCCGGCAGCGATCAGATGCAGCTGTGGCTTTGTGCTGACAAAGCCAATTGAGTGCTGTTTGATTTGGGATGTGTTTACTCTGGGAAATATGCAACAACAGCTCAGCACCAAAGTTCACACTGAAACCCTGCCGGGGACCTTGGCTGATTCCACCTCTGCAACACCACTTCTCAGAAGCACAGAGGTGAGTGTGGTTTCTAACATTTCTGCCGATTGTAAATTCTCTCTGGTGGTTAGAGATGAGTGACTGGTGCATTTCTCTATCAAACTACGAATTCAAAAGCTTTCTGTACTATTTTAGAAGTGGGAAAATGTTCTCATTTTTAATCTGCCTACTCTAAAATGCTGTCAGTCACATTATTGGAACCATTGCCAAAACTGGATCAGGAACTGGACTAGAGAAATATTGTACCTGTGTTAAATTATTTGAATGGATAACTGTACTGTGATGATGCATGAGAATATCCTTGTTCTTAGGCATTTTTCCCTGGAATATTAGAAGTTAGAGCGATACAATATAAGTGATGTACTCTCAAATGGTTCAGGAAAAAAAAAGCATATATGTGCGCCTGTGTGCACACCCACTTATACATACATATATATGTGGAGAGAGAGTGCGATAAAGCAACTGTTCAAAACACAAACCTGGTGAATCTGAGAAAAGTGTATACAGTGGTCTATGCTATTCTTTCAACTTCTCTGTTAAGTTTCAAGTTATTTCAAAACAAAAGGTTTTTGACACTGCAGGCAGTTACTCCTCTCCCACTACATCTCTTCTGCTTGGCCTGGAGATGGCAGCCTCAGGACACAGGTGTGCAGGGCTCATGTTCTGTGCATCCCCCGTACCATACAATTAGCAAGAGAAAGCACATATGAAATCCCCAGAAAAAAGCAAACTTTCAAATGATTTGCCTTTAAAAAATATTGCTTCTCTTCTAAGATAGTAATCTGGATTTAAACACATCATAGTGGTCATTTTAAAGTGTCTTGATATAATTCTTGCTATACTAAATGGCAAAATAATAGGAAGATTTAACTTTTAGATCCTTAATTTCAATCCCCAAAAACTATCAGCATTTTCTCTCTGATAAGGGAATAATGAAAACTATTTTGGCTCTTCACCATTTAATACAGGAACAGGGTATGAGAAGCTTCCAAACATACTACCTGCACCCATGTCTTCACCTCTGCTTGCTTATCTGGTCTTAGATTCTTTTCCCTGAACTCTTATTTATTCGAGTTTTTTTTTTAACCTTATTTTTATCTGAGAAGGATACTTTTAAGTGCAGCCTACCAAGAAGTCTTCCACCAAATAGCTGACTTTCTTCTTTTCTAACTTTTTATAGTGTTTGCCATCAACACTCATGCCCAGTTCTGTTTGCAAACTGGGCCCAATTCTGCTTGCAGCCACACACATAAGGAATTGTTTCAAGCGTGCAGGCTGCATGCACAGCCCTGCAGCCTCAGCTAGGTGCTGCCGGGTGGGGGTGCAGCAACACAAAAGACATTTTTAAAGTCAGAAACTATGTTACATTCCCTCTCCAAAATGTGCACAAGTCTCTCAGTAGTCATTAGAACAGCATTTGAGATGATTATCTTAGCAGTACTACAGGGGAAGACCTAAGATGGGAGACTAGGAGCAGAGAAACCAGTCCTGGCGCTCCAATGCAAACAGGCAAAGCATTCAGCACCAGCAGATGGGGCAGGGGGGTTAGTCCGCATGGTTCGGTCTCGCCACTGCCACTTACAGTGACACACGGCTCAGTGTCCCGGCCTCCAGCAGATGCTCCATCAGGACTAGACGGAGAGCTCTGCAAGTGGGGTATCTCCAGCCACCCCCCAGAAGGCCTAACACATCAAAGCCAGCAGCTCTCACCCGCCATTCTGGGCCTCGAATATCTAACAGGAGACAGCCACACACACCACACACTTAACTAGTAGACACAGCGCCTCTTTGGGGTGATGAGAAGTGGCTCTGGGACCGTGATGCACGGTGGTAGATCACTATGCTGCCCTGTCCTGGCCACACACGGAAGCATAAAATCATAGCTCATCTGCTCAACCCAGAGCGCAATCAATAAGCAGGAAGCAAGCAAGAGAAAGACAAGGCCATTTGGCAGGCAAAACTGATTTGAAAAGCTGAGGCAAATCCCTCCATGGAAAATGGCAGAGATGAGTAGATAAAGGCAGGCTTAGCACAGGGTAGGTATTAAAACTTGGCTGTGAATTTAAATAAAGGGAGTGCCCAGGCCTTTAGCAAGAGCTTTCTGAGGCCACCCTCACACAGACCTAACATGCTGGGGAGGTTATTTCTAACTGTTGCAGGAAGCAGTCAAGTTGAAAAGTTAGCAGCTCCTCCTGAAGCCATGGGAGGCCACTGGCAGGTGCAGAGGGGAACAGAGCACACCTGCAGCAACGTTCCTCCACCCGAGGCTGCCAGAGGAAGAGGGCCTGGGGGATCTGCAGCACTGACAAGTGCCATATCTTATGCAAATTAAACCACCCCAAATCACTACACAAACCTTGCATATTTGTAGGATATTCGTTCTCAGAAAGCCTGGCCCACTCGCATTTCAACATCTCCACCGGAACCCCACTTCTTGGTGAACTTCCCTGACCCTCCTGGCACTCCGCTCCTACCACAGGAGGCAGAGCCCCCCCCAGCCTCGCTTCCCCACCTGCTGTGGCAGCACCCTGGTGAGAGACCCACTTTATTGCATTTCTGCCCCCATCTGGCTGGCTGGCGAGTCCCTTGGTAGGGGAGACCTCGTGCCTCCCACCTAATACGTTGTTCGGAGAAAGAAGATGAAGTTCAGTGAATGAAAGAAAAAGAGACTCCCCAGGGGTGGGGGGGGGGGCAGGCATGAGCCCCCAGACTTCTAGCCACTTACAGTTCTACAAACCTTTAAAGAAGGGATTCTCATGTAGGGGCCCATGGGTCCTGCAGGCAGTTTTATGAAGCCACACAAAATGTTAGGTATCTGTCCATCTTCAGCAGCTTCTCCTGAAGTCCACAATCCTGAAACAGCTACGGTCCAGGGCTCCCAGGTGGAGGGCACGTTCCCGCGTCACAGCCGCCGGGACCCGCCATCCAAGCTCTCTGGTGGCGGGCGTGCCAGGCGGCCGCTCACACGCTGTTGCTTCTCTCCCTCAGCTCTAGTCCTGCCAAAATGAAAGGCCCACTCCAACCCCTCATCATTTCTCTCATCCTAACGTCTGTGTGTGGGAACAACGGCCTGGCGGGCCACCCGGAGAAAGGAAGGGAAGATTCTAAGCCTGCATCTGACCAAAAGGGGCAGGTAAAGAGCAAAAACCTAAGCATGCCGCTTCTCCCCGCTGACTTCCACAAGGAACACACGGTCACCAACGACTGGCTCACCGAGGGGGAGGAGGAGGAGGATTATCTGGACCTGGAGAAGATACTCAGCGAGGACGACGACTACAGCGACATCATCGATGCTGTTTCGCCCACAGATTCACACGCCAGCATGGACAACATCCTCCATCTCTTCCAGGGCAAGACCCGGATCCAGCGTTTGAACATCCTCAATGCCAAGTTCGCGTTCACCCTTTACCGGGCCCTGAAGGAACAGGCCCGTCCTTTGGACAACATCTTCATAGCCCCGGTGGGCATTTCTACTGCCATGGCAATGATCTCCTTGGGCCTGCAGGGGGAGACCCACGAGCAAGTGCACTCGGTTTTGCATTTTAAAGACTTTGTCAACGCCAGCAGCAAGTATGAGGTCATGACCATCCACAACCTCTTCCGTAAACTTACTCATCGCCTCTTCAGGAGGAATTTTGGGTATACGCTAAGGTCAGTCAATGACCTTTACGTCCAGAAGCAATTCCCAATCCTGGATGACTTCAAAACTAAAGTAAGAGAGTACTACTTTGCTGAGGCCCAGGAGGCTGACTTCTCAGACTCTGCCTTCATATCAAAAGCCAACCACCACATTCTGAAGCTCACCAAGGGCCTCATAAAAGATGCTCTGGAGAATATAGACCCAGCAACACAGATGATGATTCTAAACTGCATTTACTTCAAAGGTAAGAAATAGCTTTGTATGTCTTGAGGCAGGCTTGCAACATACCCTTTTAGTACGCAGGTGGGCTGAGCACCGAGAATGTATTCTAGCTCTGATTCGTCTAGGAAACCAAGACACGAGGTCAGCTCACAGGGACAGGGAAGGTCATGAGGAAGTGACGGTGCCGCTGACCCTCACTGGATCGCCACCACAACCTTGTGAGGCCCTTACTGTTAATGGCGTCCCACTCTGCAGACAGAACGACCGAGGCACAGAGAAGACAGACAGGGCTCCAAAGGGCACACAGCCGGCCAGGGGCAGGGCCACGGTGGCCCCAGGCAGGCCACTTCTAGCGCTTTGTTAAATTGGAAGAGAGAGTGAAAAACCTTTTTAGCATTTGGCCAGCCTGGGTTTGAGTTTTTTTTCACTTCCCTTCCCAGTTATCAAGGATCTGGGCGAAAGGCTGCAGGAAGGGGCCTGGAAGGTGGTCAGCTCGAGTGACCGCCAAGAACACCCGCAACTCCTTTCCAGGGATATTTCTGCACTGACGGGCAGGCCGGGGTTGGGAAATTCAGTATTCTAGAGCAACTGCTCTGGGCCAGGCAGGAAAGGCTCACGGTGGACATTCCCCCTGACCCCTACGCACACACATGGGACCTCTGGTATCCTAGAAATAAATGGGTATGGACTTCTAAGATCCAGCCCTCTTTTAGGACGCCCTCACTAACAATATCACACATACCTAGTATGTGATAGACTGGAATCTACAGTCGCGAATGAGCAGAGCTAGATTCCAATCTATCACATACTAAGTAGCTGTGATATTGTGTGTGAAACTTATCTCACTTCTATGAGCAATTAACCTACATTCAGGGATGATGATAGAAGGGCCAGGGGAAGTAATCTGGGCAACACGAAGGCCTGGGTCCTACTGGTCTGTGGGGTGCCCCTGGAAACCAAAGCCTCTGCATTAGGCTGGGCATGTTCAGGAGCAGGCGGAAGCACAGCGGTGAGCCGCCCCCACTGGCAGGGAGCTGGAGAAAAGACAGGGACATTGTTTATAATCTCCTGAACACAGTGAGCAGTGTCACACCGCAGGGTAAAGGTGGCAACTGTATGTGCTCGCTTCCCCCTCACATGGGGATGACCCCTTAATTTAGTGCTAGGAATCAGAGGGATGATTAGTTGCACCCAGAAGCCTAATTTTAATTTCTAGCCCCCAAACCTGTTACTAATTTGATTCTAATTTCAATGTAAAAACCACTTTGTAAAGCAAAGTAAAAACAGAGGTTGGGCCTCAGGAGGCAGTCAGGAAAGACGACCAGGAGCCACGGGACAGCTCCAGCAGGACCAGGAAAAGCAGTGACACGTGTGGTCCGCACAGCCCGGGGCAGAAGGGGAAGCCCTCTGGGTATCCAGTGGGTGGAGGCCAGGGACACTGCTCAGCACCCTGCAGTTCACAGACAGCCCCTCATAACAGAACTGCCGCGTGGGCAACAGGCTGAGGTTGAGAGGCTGGGGCGGCCCAGCTCCCATCAGTTTCCACCTCGTCCCTTGGAACCTCCTTCCTAGCTCAGCCCGAACGCTCTGCCCACCAGCTGGAAACCTCCAACAATTACTTTGCTTCTTTGCACCTGTTTACTCGTCTGTAACGTGGGGATAGTTACCAAAAGCACCCACCTCATACTGTAGCTAGAGGGCAAAATGAGGTACACAGGGAGGCAGTTAGAAGAAATCCTGGTGCACTGCCAGCTCTTAACTCACTCCTCCCTTATTCTTAGTTACCAGCATCTCAGAGCTAAAACAGACACATACTTACTCCTAGGTCCAGTGTCACACCAAACCTAAAGTGAGGGTATTGATGGCACGTTGCATCACCAGGGTGTCCTGCTAGTCCCCACAGAATTGCAGAGGGCGAGGGATGAAAGCCATCAAAACAGAGCTGCTAAGAGCTCAAAGCTACTCATTTTATAGTTGAGTAAGTAGAGGTCCAGGCAAGTCAGGTGTCTTGCTAGGGTCAAACTACCAGTTAGTGTCAGACTCTAACCCAGAATTCATTTCAGTCTAACTCTCAAACCATATCACGCTCCCTACAAGTTTGCTGGCATTCAGACCTTCTTAGAATCCTTTACAACAGTGGTTCTCAAAGTGTGGTCCCTGGGCCAGGAGCATCAGCAGCTCCTGGGAACTTGTTAAAAATGCAAATTCTCAGTTCAAACCAGACCAATGGAATCATAGTTGCTGAGGGTGAGCCCTGTAGTCTGAACAAGCCCCCCCAAGGGTTTCTGATGATGCATGTTCATGTGTGAGGCCCACCGCTCCAAAACTGTATTTTAATAAAAGCCCTGTTCCTGTTGACTTTACAGGATCCTGGGTGAATAAATTCCCAGTGGAAATGACACACAACCACAACTTCCGCCTGAACGAGCGAGAGGTGGTCAAGGTTTCCATGATGCAGACCAAGGGTAACTTCCTGGCGGCAAACGACCAGGAGCTGGACTGCGATGTCCTGCAGCTGGAGTACGTGGGGGGCATAAGCATGCTGACTGTGGTCCCCCACAAGCTGTCTGGGATGAAGACCCTAGAGGCACAGCTGACGCCCCAGGTGGTGGAGAGGTGGCAAAAAAGCATGACGAACAGGTACTTTGGGTTGAGTGTTCGTTCTTTTGATCTCCAGGAGGCTAGGGGAGCCCGGGAGTACTTGAACCTTGGTCACTTTAAGAAAAAGGGAGCTATATGCATCAAAATCCACAAACTGCCATATTGGGCCACCCTGTTAATTCAGCGCAAACTTCTTGCCCAGGGAGGGGCAATCAGGGCATCTGTGAGGAGCACACTGGCCCCTCATGTGGCACTTTCAGGAGTCAGGGACAGAGGACATAAGAGGACATAAGCCAGCTTACCAACGATCCTGTCACTGCCCCACACTCTGTGGCTCTGTCACCTGTAAAAGCACCATGATCGTAGGGCCTGCCAGGGGCACAGAGAGGAGAAACCAGAAGCCTGACACGAGCACCCTTCCGGGGCCCAGCGTCCGGGGGGTTCAACAAAGATGAGCTCCCCTCCCTACCCAGGAAACCCTGAGGTCCTCTTGACCCAGTAAGGACACCTCCTTCATGATATTCTCCTATTATTATTTATTACTCCATAGTCAAAACTACAGGTTTCAAATATTTACTATGCTTATTACTGGTTCACAGCAGAGAGAATAGAGAAGTCACACTTCTGTTTCACTGCATACTGGATATGCCCACATTAAGAGGAGAATCAGGTTTAGGTCTCCTTCCAGGACAAGAATACAAAGAAACGCGACAAACAGAAGTAGGCTCTTGGAGGAAGGTATTTGCCCAGAAGGCCAAGGAGTCACCAAGCCGTGTCAATTAGTCCTTAAAAATGGCTCTCAGTTCTGCCTCCTTCCTTTCCTCATGGCCTGGGACTGCCACCTCTGACGCTGGGCCAGGGGAGGCCTCAGCGGCCTGTGTGTCCTGCTCCTCGGTCCACTGCAGCACTGGCCACAGGGACGGTGGTCCCGAGACCCCGTCCCCACCTCCTCTTATCATAAACCCCTGTGGACATCCCGCCAAGGACAGAGCCCAGCTTCTGGGCCCACAGACAGCCCCGTCCGGCCTTGCCCAGGGAGGGGCAATCAGAGCCCCCACCACACTCCAGCCTGACCACAGCCTCGCGCTCCCCAGGCCTTTGCTCACACAGGAACCCAGCCTTCCCCACTTCACATACTGAGTCGTGGCTTGCCAGAAGGAAAGCCCACTCCTGAGAAGGGGCCAGGCGTCTGATGTCCCTCTATCCCCAGGAGCCCGGGACTCGGCCCTGTGGGTCCCCCTGCTACTGTCCATCCACGGGGACCGACCGCGCTGAGGCAAGGCTGAAGAATGTCTGGCTCTAGCTGGGGCCTGAAGGTCCTCTTCACAGGTTCACTGGCTAGTTAGCTCCTTGATCAACAAAATAAGAAACACCTGAAACCAGGGACCTACACAAAATGATTTTAGGCAGCTTCACACTATAAACCAGAAACAGCGCTGACGACCCGGGAGGCAGGACAGGAACCACATGGCACCCAGGAAATGACCCACAGCAGCACCCACCTCAATCTTAACTGGATTACACAGATGGTTTTCTAAAATCCTCACAGATGTACTGGGATACGGATTATAGGAAGTGCAATGTCATTTCTGGGGTAAATGCAACCTGGGGTGTGAGGAACGGGTAGGTTGCAGACATTCAAAGGAAAAACACGACATTAATTCTAACTCATGGGTCAATAAAACTGGACCCCCTTTTTCTTCTCCGACCAGGACTCGAGAGGTGCTTCTGCCTAGATTCAAGCTGGAGAAGAACTATAACCTGGTGGAGGCCCTGAAGTCGATGGGGGTCACAGCACTGTTCAACAACAGCAGCAACATGGTGGGAATCTCAGACCACAGGATCACCATTGACCTGGTAATCTCTCCCTGTCCGCCCTCTGCACCCGTCCCAGAGTCGGCCCCAGCTCTGGGCCCCGCCACCCGGCCTGACTTCATAGCTCCGGGTACTGGGTCTCCCTGACGCTGAGTGGGCAGGTGGTTGACCTCGGGGAGCAGCCTAGGAGCAAGCTCCCCTCCTGCTGACATCAGAGAGAGAGGTGCACAGTCCAATCTGTAAAAGAGAACCCCCAAACACAGAGAGGCCCCGCACCACCTGCACGCTGAACACAACACACCCATGCTAGACACCCTGCAAGGCACAACTCCAGCCCTGTGATGCAGATCTGGGCCGTAACCCCCGGCAGTGTGCCCAGGGAGAGGAGACGGGGCTCGGGGCCACTGTCGTGCGGGCAGGCCACTCACAGAGACCACATTAGGTAAGTACTGTTTACATGACACGGCCTCCAAGCACGACCACCGCCCTGACAGGTGCCTAGGGAGCTTCCTGGTCATTGTGACCTTGCATGTGGTCTTCCGACTCCTTCGTAGGTGGGCAGACACCACTCTACCCGTTACCCTCGGTGTGCTCTGAAGGACTCTGATAGCTTTGCTTTCCATTCTGAAACAGTTCAAACACCAAGGTACCATCACAGTCAACGAGGAGGGCACGCAGGCGGCTGCAGTGACCACGGTGGGCTTCATGCCGCTGTCCACCCAGGTCCGTTTCACCGTGGACCGCCCCTTCCTGTTCCTCATCTACGAGCACCGCACCAGCTGCCTGCTCTTCATGGGGAGAGTTGCCAACCCCACCAAGTCTTAAAGGTGGAGGTCTGTGCATCTCAGGGTGCTGGGGGCGCTCTAGAATGGTAACGCTGTTTCCATTCTAACAATGAGAAGAGACAATCTGGCATCACATCCTTTGTGGGTTAGGTATCATTCTGAAATCGAGGCCCATATACAGAAGACATTTACAAAAGAATGAGAAGCGCGCTGGAATCAATTCTGCAGTGACAACGCCATAGAAGTTAACGGACCTGCAGCGGATCAGCTGTTACTGGGGAGGCGGTCAGTAACACACAGACTGGCTTCCCTCCCACCTCCTCAGAGCAAACCTTCAGAGTTCCCCCTGGGCACCTCTGTCCCCCGTGGTCCCCATCCTTGACCATCTGCTTTATTATGCAAAGCCTTTCTCAACCAGAGCTTCACATCTGAACACAGAACACAGACTGAGCTGCACCACTACTTTCTCACCTCTCCCAGGGACGGTGCAAGACCAGCACCATGACTGCTGCCCACGAGAGAAGCAACCTTGTGACATTCAAGGATGCCCTGGGGGTCGGTACTGGCTTCTGCCAAGGCCCAACCTTCTGAACTGATGATAAATGTCATTTGTACTCCTATTTTCATCTCACTGCTGCCAGAGAACAGTGTGTACACATGGCCATGTCTTCCACTCTAGAGATAAATAAATATTGCCACTTCTGTGTATCTATTAAATTCTATTTTCTGAAGCTCAAATGACTAAGAAAGGCCAAATTCAAAATAGCCGACATTCCCAGGAATGACAGAGGTTGACAAAAAGCGCCCCAAGTTCTCCATAGTGACATACGGGCCACACAGCAGGACACATCTGGGATCAGGACGCATGCTGCTAAGTCCTAGGGGCAGGGAGGCTGCGGATGGGGCTGCATGGGGATTCAGGAAACCCTAGTCCTCACCCACCCACTTCAGCTTTCATCTCCGGCTGCAGGGAGACCCTCCGATGTGCTCCTGTCGCGGGTCTGGTTTAAGAAAGCAGGCAACATCTGAGGAATACATTTCCAGGCAAGAGCAGGGCACTCCAGAGAGGCTGCTCAGAATTCAGGAGTGTTGGCCCCTCTGCAGTGCTAGGGATGATGGACAGCGACAGGGAGAGCACCCCAAGCGCTGTGCGTGAGGCTGTCTCACTGTGACCCCCCCACCTGGCAGGAGGGGCCTTCTCTTCCTTGTTCTGCGGAGGAAGAAGACCAGGCTCAGCAGGGCACTAATACTGCCCAAGGTGCCATGAGTGAGTGGTGGGGCCTGGGTTCAAGAGCACGGTGGCGTGACTCCAGGGTCCCGCACGGAGCATGTCACAGAGGGCTTCTGACCCAGTAAGCCCATTACTAGTCATGGGGGCAGCAAAAGGGCAGCACTAGAGCTCCCTGATGTAGGTGGCACAGTGATGGGAGTGCCTGCACATTATCCCCAGGTCCTCACTGGCACCACTACCACCTCCTTTCTGCAGCTGGAGAAACAATGAAAGGTCCCAGAGGGGAAGTGATCTGCCCCAGGCCTCAATTCAAACCCAGGCACTGCTTTTCACGGCTAACCCTCTCCACCTACTCCCTTCCCACCTTCCTGCACCAGGGCTACCCCTCCAGGATCTACTGACTGGGACAGGGTTGAGGCCACATCCTTCCCTGCCAACCCTCCTGACCTCTCAGTAAGCCCTGAGGTTGCTGCCAACCCCCCTTGAGTTCCTTTTCCAGCCCCCGTCAACGCTGTTCTCGCCCGGCCCTCGCCCTAAGCGTCTCGTCTTGCCACTGGCTCCTCATGCCCCTCCCATCCCTAAAGGTATCGATCTCAAACAAATGCCATTAGCCCTTTGCCATGTCCATCCCTTACCCAAAGACAGCAGGCTCGCTTCCAATGCAGCACCCCGCTCTGCTGCAATCAGCCTGGGCTCCTCCAGACGCCACCCAGCTCAAGGCCCACCAGGCTCCACGCTTTCCATTCACTAACATCCACTCTGAATGCTGGCAGAGCCCCTCTTTCAGAAACTAGCTGACCCATGTTTCAAGTCAGAATAGTGTTTTTCAGAACACAGACCTTGAGCTAGGCTGCCTCGGTTCCAATCCTGGCTCCAGCACTTAATAGCTGTGCGACTCTGAAGCAAGTCCTGTGCCTCAGTTTCCCCATCTATAAAATGGGGATGATACGGCACCTGCCATGCAGGGCTGTTGGGACGACTAAGCTAGTGCCTAGATCAGTGCTTGGTGCTTAGCAAGAGTTAGGTAAGGATTTTTTGTTACTGTCTTCATCTGAGAGTAACCAGCCTAGGGGGTCCTAATAAGTGGGCCGTAGGTGGGCCATGAGTGGGTTTTTCTCACTTAATTTCCTGAGGTTAAATGTGAAACAGATTGCATTTATTGTGAATAGATGCATTTCTATGGAGAAAAAATGCACAGCTTTCAAAGGGGTCCATGACCCAAAAAATGTTAGTCTACAAATCTCATTTTACAGGCACTGAGAGAATGAGTAACCTGCCCAAGGCCCCGGGAGCTTCTAGACGGCAAAGGTGAACTAACTCTAAGTGCCATGCATGGATGTTTCCAGCAAGAGGCACGTCATTCTAAATCACTACATTATGACAGTGGGGCAACCACGTCTCCAAACACTAGATAGCTTTCAAAACGCTTAATTATCTAATGGGAGAGACACCAAAAGAAGCAATTTAATCAGTGTATTTTCAGAAGAATTATTATTCACAAAATTGCAGAGCAAAGATCGCCAAACCTAAGCAGGAGGAGGCTCAGGGGTCACGTGACCCGGCCTCCCACAGCTCCCTCCACCTCCCGGGGCCCCTGAGGAGCGATCCACTCACACCCAGGCTTCCTGCCCCAAACCCACGGGGCAGGTCCATTCAACCAAGTACTTCAAGACACTCTGTTATTCACAGATTCGAAAGAGAGTATCCAAAAAACAAAAAGGAAGAAAGAAAAGATAGAAAAAAACCCCGCAAAACATTAAATAAGCCACTTTGGAAATTAGTTTCTCCCAGAAAGTCCAAGGGGCAAATCGGAAAGCACACGCCAGGACCACGGTCCGTGTGCTCTTGGTTGTGCAACAGAACCAAATATTTGTTTCCTCCCCCATAACATAACCATTAACTTCTGTCAGAACTACAATACTTATGCTATTCATGGAAAAGGTCGCTGCAGCAGAGGAAACATGAGAGTTTTAAGTGAGTATTTCTAGCCTGTCCCTGCCCAGCTGGGTACTCCTGGGCACTTTAAGAAGCTCTGCCGGCCGAGCGGGCCTGGAGAGGCTGCGGAGCTCAGCCCGGAGCCGGCGCGCAGGACCACGCGTCCAACCCTGGCCTGTGCCCTAACACCCATGCGTTCACAACCAACCTCAGCAGCCATCCTGCCCCAGAGTGCCCCTGTAGAGGTCTTGGATGCATTTACTAAACTCTAAATGACAACTGCTGCACACGTTTTGCTCACAGGCACACGGGTCAGAGAATTCTGGTGTTCAGAGGTCCCTGAACTCCGACTGGAGTGTCACTGCCACTATGCCCAAACCTGCCGTCCTGTGGAGCCTGCCATCAGCCCTTCCTGTTCCAACAGGCTGAGACGGCACAACGGACTTTACGCCTCTCACCTTTCCCTCTGGGCCAAACAAAGGGCCCATGTGTGACGGCACCTCCAAACACACACTGGTTAGTATTAACTGTAGAGTGAAAAAGTCATGCTTTTAAAAATTAACCAGTGCGGGTGCTGATAAAAAATACCATGACAGAGAGCCTTGTCCATCCTCGAATCCTCAAACGGCCCTAGGAGAGCACCCGACCAGAGGTACAAAGGTGGGAAGGGTCCCAGGGGAACGTGAAAAACCACAGGCAGGCAGTGCAGGCCCAACCCCGTCCCGTAAAGCACCCCCGGGAGAGGAGACTGTCCTGACGCAGATGTGGCAGGGGGCCAAGTGACCCCGTCACCCTCCTCAAGGACAGTAGAGGAAGGTGACCTCGAGTGCCCCACTGAGACATCTCGGAGGGAATAATGAGCAAGTCACTGACTCTTTTCCATCCACCTTGGCAGCTGAAATTGGAGCCCCTCAAAGTCCCCTGCTTCAGAATGACGGCCACCCACACTTGAATAAGTACAGAAACCCCTTTGCTGAGGTCAGGGAGGCACCCCTTCCCTCCTGCCCGGACTCTGCGCCCTGGGTGGGCCTGGCAGCTTGGAGGTCACCCTCTGGTTCCACGTGAAGGGACACACATGCGCGCGCTCAAAACTGGAACTCCTGGGGACGGGGCGGGAAGGAAGTGGAAGGCAGAAGCAAGGGCTCGGTGAGAAGCCGGAGAATCGCCGGTGAGCCCGACTACCAGAACCCGGGGTCCTGGCTTAGGGCTGGCAGCCGGGAACAGCGGAGAAAGGGAAAAACAACTAGAAAGGGCGCCGGGGAAGAAGCGGCTGCAGGCTGAGACAGGCTCTCTGCCCGACAGTGCGGTGCCTGCGGCAGGGGTGGGGCCTGTACTGCAAGCTGCCCACCGGCCAGCCGTGGGCAGGCTGCGCCCCGAAGTGTGATCGGTCCCCTGTGCCCGCACCGCCCCCAGACTTCACTAAGGCTGCAGCCCTAAGCACCAAGCACCAACCAGAGGCCCCAGGCCTCATCTTCCAGAAAGGGGACGGGGAGGAGGTGGGGGCAACAGCAGCCTGGCACAATCCAGGGGCACCACGACAGGGCATGAGACGCAGGATGAACCCAGAGTCAGACCCGGGGGCCACAGAGGAGGGAACTGAAGTGGATTCCCTGGTCAGCCTGCTTCAGAGATGCGTGCAGGCGTGGAGGAAGGGAACGGGGTGCTGTGGCCACGGCCGGCGCGTACCGATGGGCAGTCAGACAGGAGCCCGCGGGGCTGACACAGCCACACCTACAGAACCACGCAGCCTCGCCACAGCATCCTGCTAAGGGCCTGGCTGTGCACCACCAGGCGACACTCAGGGTGTGAGCACAGGATCTGAAGGCTGAAACCCCTCGGGGGACACATACTCACACATACTCACCACAGCTATTACAGGAATGAGTACACCCAGGTTTCCCGCACTGCTGGAAGCCTAGAAAAGAACAGAATTGAGTCACTGACAAACATGTGTTTCTTTTATTTAAAAAAACAAAAATGACAGAATACAGTGTTATATAAAGCTGGAATTCGTCAATCTCCAAGAAATGATGAGAGAGATGTAGAAGGAGATGTGTAAAGACGCTCACCCAGCATGATTCTGGCAACAAAAAAATGGAAACATCAAACAGAATGATTTCATGAATAGGAAACCTCTGTTTAATTAAATACCATGCAACTGCTAAAAAGACAGCTTTCTGAAAAATATTCAGTCAGCTTAGAAAGTGGTCATAGCAAATGGAAAATGAAAACAAAATGAGAATTTAAGAGTATGCTATGATATAATCCCAATTATATAAAATAAAAATATTTGCACAAAAAATCTAGGAGGAAGTCTGTCAAAATGTTAACAATGATTGTATCTGGGTAGAGGGTTTATGGGGGCTTTTTAGTTTATAATTTAGTGATTTCTGTGTCTTTTCTACAATTACATATATTCTTTCTAATATAGGGAAAAATAACTAAATAAAAGGCAGGTTCTCTGGCTAGACACACAAATGCGGCTAAACCCTAGTCGATCAGCCAAAGTTCTAGAACCACACATCTAAGCTCACCCAATTTA